AAATTATTTGTCGGTCGAGTACAAATCGCTCGTTTCTTGCGCTAGTGTAGCCGAGCAGTGGACAGGGTAGCAAATTTGCTAGAACTTGGGTTCTAGTGTGCCTCTCTGGAGAGACTTTCACAATACGAACACGTTTCGAATTCCTACAGTACTGTCCGCGAGTAGTGAGTTTTACCATGACCAAATTTGGATGGTCAAAAGAGCAAACTGCAGAACTAATTGCACGATATGAAAAAAAAGGACTATAGAAATCGCGTAGCATACACTAAAATTATTTTCAACTATACAGAGTGTTCTGTTTTTGAGGTGTAATGCGGACAATTTGATTTGTAATCTTCTTAATATCTATAGTTTCAAAAGAAATGGACTGATCCAAAGAGATTAAAACACCTCCACATCTGGATTTATTTACAACTTCAAGGTCTATATCTCACGCTTATAACCTTCGACGCTTCGCGTCTCAGGTTCTAATCTGCGTTCGGTCGTTAACGATTGTCTTCACTACCGTGGCGTATAATATACTATTTTAGAAAATGTAAAATCGTAACAATTAAGTTGTGAGTGAGGTTGTGATATCATGTCTAGTATACATATTATATACCCCTATATTGATTATTTCTGAAATGATTACCGCGATGGTTGTTTAAATATCGGGCATTGTTATAATGTCCAAAATTTTGTGTGACGTTTGGATTATTGACGCTAAGGTCACTGGTTGGAATATTATTAGTATGGAACCTCCTGAAATTACCACGCCACGACTCCCATCACGATAAAATTTTGATCCTCTGCTACGAGTAAACATGGACAAGACCTGTGAATTATTTTCGTATCTTCGAATGGTATTTTCATCAATGGCAGATCTAATACAGTCTTTTAAACTAGTAAAATTTCGAGCTGTGATTATTGTACCAAGTTTGAAATCTCGTAATCCATCTAAAAATTGTTTGATCGCACTTCTTTCGTTCACGGACTTTAGTACCTTAAAAGTATTATCACCTCCATTACCTTGGGATATTGTTAAATTTACAAAGAGATCTTCAATTTCCTTATCGAAATCATTTATTGATTTATTACCTTGAATTGTCTACATTAATTTTGATTGTAGGGCCGTATCCGATTTCCTACTTAAAAGATGTATTTTCACATCTGTAACTAAGAGTACTTGTACTGACTTGTAGACAGCGGATGACCGTCGGGCGAGGGAAGGTCAAACTCGGTGCGGCTCGTACGGGATGGGAATTCAGTGGGGTTACGGGCTGCACTTCTTTGCATACCCTGCTGTTAATTCCCGTTCTCATTTACCTAGCCGTTTTAGTAATTAAGTTTTTGTTAATTGTATTTATGGAATAAGTGACGATTAAATTCCGTGATTATCACTCGCTACTGAGTCCCGGCAACCCAGCGCGTCCCCACCTATACTCGTGACGTAGTCTTACAGAAATCCGTTCTCTAGTTATAACTTATAACTTATAACTAGAGAGCGGATTTCTGTCTACTTATAACTTATAAGTATGATTCAATCTAATTTTTGCGCTTGGGGACAATTGAGGTTTTAAAACAAAATTATTCAAATTCTTTTTATTATTTGCATCCAACATAGTATCATATAATTCAATGGCATCTAAAAGTTTCAAAGGGACACCTTCATTAGCTATCATTCATTATTGGCAACAGATTGTAAACTACTTTAAGATCAAAAGCCATTATTTTGAGAAAATCGAAAGTGTTTTTTCTTTTGCAAAACTTAAAATTTTGTGGTATACGTTATTAATGGCAGCTACGGACTATTTAAACTGCTCAACTTCCTCAGTGTACAAGTTCAAATCTTTATCAAACTGAATAATAATCGTTTGCAATTGTGCATATACTATGTTAGCTTCGTCTGCTTTTCTAATGAAACATGCACCCTTATTGCGCCAATCACAACCAATTTAATTATTTTTTTTTCCTCGTCATAAATTTCATGTGCTGATACCATTCTAAAATTACATCATCAATCAAAACTTAAAACAACTGACTCTTAAAATGGACCGTCCAGGAAATGACTACTTATTTCTGTTGCAAATATAAAATCCACCAAAGTACAAAATACCCATTTCGCTTACAGTGGCTTGTCCTGTATCGGGTATCGATATCCTGTCAAAGTTTACAAACTTGAAACTTGCTGCGCTGCGTTTTGATTACCACCTATCCGCTCGTGTCATTACATCTTAATTCCGTGTTCTTTACCTGAACAAAGTTTACAAATATACAAAGTTATATTAAAAGGCCATATTCCACTGCATTGATGAAAACAACGCACAGACAGTTAACTAACATCCAGCGACGGTTATCTGAGATGATGATGAATCTAATATATAAAGCTACATGTCCACTTGAGAGGGGGCTTGCGAGAAATAATTCCAAAATCAGCCCGTAAAGCCATGGTCGGGCCTGCCCTCAACTGGGTAAGCGTATCGTTTTTACCTTGTTTCTCTGAGTTTGCACTCTCACAATGCGAACGGATTTCGAAGTGCGACAGTGATCTCCAATAAGTCTGTTTTACGTGTATGTTTTTCGTAATAACTGAATTCATTGCAATAATAGACCTCTGAAATTTGAAATGACAACTTAAGATTAAAGATGGTATAAAATCAAAATCAGAACTCTCGTGAGAGTTGCTCTCCAATGGGGACGTACCCTAATCTTCGGTTTCGATGGACTCTACCTGTTCTGTTGTTTCTGACGCACAACAATACAATAACACAAATAATCACCCCTGCAAACCCCAATACTGTCCATTCGAACGAGAGGCTGCCGCATTTCCAGTGCTTGTTTGGGTTATTATTACCTCTTCCTTTGACTGCGATTTTCCCATGATTTTGTCTGAGGAACACGTTTTTTTTTAATAGATAGCTGGCAGGATCGCCATGTACTCTACCAGTAAACGCACTATTGAAACTGCGAACTGCCGGTCTTAAACACATTTCTTTATTGTTCTTCTTTCTTACAACGCTTGCGTGCTACTCTTCCACAATTAACTCCTACTCATCTAATCATTCACTCTCTCTTTTACACATTACTTATTGACTAGGTAGTTATCTATTCCATTACATTGTATCTTCCTTACAATGAGAAAAGTTTACTGATCTTCAGCGACCTGTGAAACTAATTAATCTCACCAACTAGCGAAATTCAAAAAATTTTGAACAGATTGCATTAATTGTAGCAGAGATGAGAACCGGTTTCGGTATAGTTAACAATTGCGTTCGAGGTTTTTATGTTTAATTATATATATTTTGATATAGTTAAGACAACAACACTGCTTATTTGATTAATTTAAAATTAAAATATGTTACACTGACACTTCGTTGACTATGTGCCGATATTGTATTTTTGACTGCAAAAGTAATTAAACAATGTTTAACTTCGATGGTATTCTAAGCTTTTTTTTGATTGATTTCTTGGTTTTTATGTAGACTAAAATAATCTTTTCTAAATGTTATGTTTATATATCCACCGAAGTGCATTCGAATCCAGACTGGGACCATACTTACTACAAAGTACTGAAAATAAAATAAACTTAATTAATTGATGCAATCTGAATTTAACAATTTTACCTGTATGCCATGAGCCCAATAGCCTGTGGATTCATCCATTTTTCCTAAAGTATTAACAGCATGTTTTGCGTAAGTAACTGCATCAGGAACGAATGTACTAGACTGTTGCAATCTAGGGCTAAACTGGTTCATTTTTGTGTTAACGAAGAATGGTGATAAATGCTGAATTGTGAGACCATATTTAGCATATTCATAACGCAGAGCAGCTGTAAAACTTTTGATATATGCCTGAAACAAACGCTATTAAAAATAAAAGCTAAAGATGTATATGTAAGTAATTTGTAATATTTTATGGCTTTGCTTGGATACGTGGAATAAGTTAGGTACCTATTTACGTTATGAGGGCGGTAGGTTGCACTTTGGAGACGACGGCGACGTTTTAATTTTGAAGCACGACGCGAAGGATTCGCATTTCAGTTGGCATTTAGAAATAACTTGAAATGCAGTTTTTCAAGAGATAAGCAAAAGGAACAGTTGCGTGGTTTTTTAAAAAGATATCCACAATTAAGATTCAGAAAATCACAAGGTCTATCCACTGCTCGAATTAAAGGATTCACAGAAGACAACGTTAATAGTTTTTTGTGGTCGAGTAGCTTCATAATTCACGTTTGACGCATCGAAAATCCTTTATAATTGTTTCATTTGTTATAAGAAAGAGGCTTGTTTCAATTATATCTTTAATAAAACTAAACTACGTGTAACATTCTACAGGTAACAAAATACACAGTACATTAATCTTGGTCATTGCCAACTTAACTAATTCTCACTAAATGGCAGGGATGCCAATTACACTTGTAACACCCCCCTCACTAAGTTTACAAAACTATTTTAAGGTTGAAGGAACACCGTACACTTCATAATCTTTGTATTTGGATGGCATATTTCTATTTCTGTGAGGTCGACTTACAGGTTCCTTACCTGAACATACATTTACATCATTATTAATTTTTGTTGGGGATGACACAGTTTTAAAAGGGGTCGAATTATTCATACTAGGGGTACATGTCTCATTTTCAGAATCAGAAATTGGATCGACAACATTACCACGCGGAACAAACTCCTTTTTCGATTCACGAAGGTGACGTCTATTTCTCCTAAACACTTGACCTTGCTCAGTTTTTACAATATAAGACCGCGGTGTGTCGTACTTATCTTCTACTTTTCCCTTTTCCCAATTGTTATGATTCTTTACATACACATTTTGACCCGGTTCAAATGAAGACAATGTTTTTGCACTTCTATTATAGTACTTTTTTTGATTTATCTGACTAGATTTTAATTTATCATGTACATATTTCGGGTTTATATTTTCAGTATTTAATAATTTGTTATTGACAGGTAATTTTGATCTTAAACGTCTATTATTTAGTAACTGACTTGGTGAAAATCCTAAAGTTACAATTGGTGTTGTCCTATACTCTAACAATGCTAAGTCTATATCAGTATTTTTTCGAAACAAATTTTTTACTATTCCTACACCTTTCTCAGCTAGTCCGTTAGATTGCGGATAATTTGGGCTAGTAGTAATGACTTTAAAATTCCACTGATTCGCGAAATTTCTGAAATTAAAGCTGTTAAATGGCATATTATCTGCAATAAGGACTTCAGGAATACCTTGTCGTGAAAAAATTTCTTTAAAATGCTTGATTAACTCATAAGAATCTTTATATTTCAACTTTTTCAATTCAATCCATTTACTATATGAGTCAATCACAACAAGATACTCATTACCAGCATAATAAGCTATATCAGCTGAAATTCGAAACCATGGTCGCGTTGGACATTCATACGACCTAAGAGGTTCCTTTTGCGGATTTCTATTAAACTTCTCACACATTTCACAGCCTGATATATATTCATATATGTCTTTACACATGCCTAACCAATACAATACTTCTCTAGCTCTAGCTTTGGTTTTTTCTATACCTAGATGGGTTTCGTGTAAAATTTTTAACATATAACTTTGGAACGATTGAGGAACTACAATTCGTTCATTAAAATATATAATACCATTATTAACTGTAATGTCATGTTTAATTTTCCAAAAATGTTTAACTACCTTTGAATATTGTTTAACATTATTAGGCCAACCATGTTCATAAAAATGTAAAATTTGTTTTAGATCTTGATCATTTTTTGTTTCTTCTTTAATTTGGTTCTGCTTTTCATCTGAAATTACAATTTCCTTTTGTAGTGTGTGAACTGTAAAATCTACACTATCAGGTTCTATCTCATTTAAAAACGATCTGGATAAATAATCTGCAACAAACATTTGTGAACCCTGCAAATATTCAACAGTTATTTCGTATTTGAGCAATTGTAATCGCATGCGTTGTAGCCTAGCAGAAATTTGGTTTATTCCTTTTTTGAAAATTGACTCTAATGGTTTGTGATCAGAATTAACAATAACATGTCTACCATAGGTATAATAATGAAATTTTTTACAAGCAAATTCAATAGCATACATTTCCTTTTCAATTTGTGCCCAATTTTGTTTGTTAGAACTTAAAGCTGCAGATGCAAATGCTATGGGCTGATTATTGGACAATAAAACTGCACCTACTCCATCTTTTGAGGCATCAGTTTGTATTTTTAGTTGTTGATTACTAGTAAATATACCTAATGTTGGTGGTTTGGCTATAATAGCTTTTAGTTTATTGAAACTTTCTGTGTGAATTTCATCCCATTGAAATGGTGTATTTTCTTTAGTTAATTCACGCAATGGAGCTGAAATTTGGGACATATTCGGTATGAATTTACTTAGATACTTAAGCATACCAAGAAATTTTAACAAATGTTTTTTGTCTTTAGGAATTTGAAGTTCAGTAATTGCTTTAGTGAATTTTGAATCCATTGCTACACTATTTTTACTAATAATGTGACCACAATAACGAATAGTTTTTACTTTAAATTGAACTTTGGTTGAATTTAATTTAACATTGTTTTGAGCTGCTCTATTTAAAAACAATTGCAAATTACGATCATGCGCTCTTTCATCTTCACCTGAGATTATAATGTCATCAAAGTACACGTGTACTCCTGGGATATCTCCAAACATTTCTTCATTTTTCTTTTGGAATACCTCTGGACTGGATTTTAGACCAAATGGAAGACGATTGAATTTATATCGACCAAAAGGTGTATTGAACGTACATAACTCGGAGCTTTCTTCATCCAAAACAATTTGCCAAAACCCTTGACACATGTCGAAGACGGAAAAATATTCTTTGTTGCTTAGTTGTGCAATGATGGTTTCCGGTGTTTGAATTTGATATATTTCCCTCTGAATTGCAGTGTTCAGATCTTTTGGATCAAGGCACAGGCGTAGTTCACCATTTGGTTTCTCGATGATTACCAAATTATTCACCCATTTCGTTGGTTTGCTGACTTTGCTGACGATTCCTTCTTTGCTGAATTTTTCCAAAGTTGTTTTCAATCTTGTATGTAGACTTAAAGGGACCAGTCTTGGTGGATTAATTACTGGCTTGACTTCTGAGCTTACAGTGATGTGATGTGTTCCTGGAATTTTTCCAATACCATTGAAGATTGATTTGTATTTTTCAGTAACCATTTCCATTGTTAACTCGTGAATGTACTTCTGTGGCTCATTTACTTTGGTTGATCTGGAAATTAATTGCAATTTTAGACAATCTTGTAACCCAAGAATAGCACCAGAACTAGGGTTAACGACAACGAAATTAACTTCTGCTATTTGATTTCCAACTTTCAGTTTCAGTGTCACTTGTCCAACTGGAGTAATTTTGAAGTTTTTATTTCCATACGCTACTAGTGTGACATTTGTAGGCTGCAATTTCTTCTTCGTGTTCAGTGATTTGAAGTCATTATACGGAAGTACTGATACTTGAGCACCAGTATCAATTTTGCAATTTAATTTTTGACCTTGAATTTCTACTTCTTCGTACCAAGTGTTTTCTTCCGCAGTGATTCCCTCGATCTTTAGATTTAGAACTTGCAGACTGCTCATATTAACCTCTTCATCTTCTATTTCGTGGACGCTATAGTTGCTGTTGGTTTTGCTTCTGCACACTTTTGCGAAGTGGTTTGGCTTCTTACATTTCCTACATGTTTGATTGAACGCTGGACATTTGTTTACTGGGTGACTTACTTGTCCACAATTTCTACAATTATTTATTATTTTCGTAGTTGGTTTCCCAGTTTTCATCTGCTTCATTGGTTGTTTTTTCTTGTTGATCGCTGACACATTTGCCATTGGATGCTGATTTCCCTTGGAAAACTCGTTGATTTGGAATTTACTTATTTCGGCACTTCTGCACTTTTCTAGTGTTTTCTCTAACGTAATATCTTTTTCGTTAATTAGTTGTTCCTGTAGCCGTGTTTCTCTTACGTTAAATATAATTTGATCTCTAATTATTGAGTCTTGTTGGTCGCCATACTCACATTTCATCGCTGCATTTTTTAATTCAGTTACGTAGGCATCAAAGCTCTGTCCTTCCTTTTGTCTTATTTTCAGGAAACAGTACCTCTTGTAGATCACATTTCTTCTCGGTTTGCAATGGTCTCCGAACTTATTTAAAACAATTGCGAGAGTTAAGTCTGCTTGCTCACCTAATTTATAGGAATTGTAAATTTTTACTCCTTCTTCCCCTACTACGTTGAGAAAGATCGCTATTTTCCTTTTTTCTGTCTCGTCCTCTTTCGAAATAGCCATTAGGAAAAGTTCAAATTGTTGTTTCCATAAATCCCATTTGAACGATACGTTTGTTGAAAAATCCAACTCTGGGGGCCTTCGAAACATTCCCATTTCTTGTGCCATGTTAGTATTTATTGTTACTTTCTTCAGATGACTTGGATTTTTGTGAATTTGCAGTATTTGAATTTGCACGTGGTTATCCTAACCTCAATTTGGGAACTTGCACTTACGATACATCCATCTGTTGTATTTGTTTAGGTGGCTGATCGTTTTCCTAATAATCCATTATTATTAATCCCACACTGACACCATGTTTCATTTGTTATAAGAAAGAGGCTTGTTTCAATTATATCTTTAATAAAACTAAACTACGTGTAACATTCTACAGGTAACAAAATACACAGTACATTAATCTTGGTCATTGCCAACTTAACTAATTCTCACTAAATGGCAGGGATGCCAATTACACTTGTAACAATAATCTGCCACATTACGGAACGATTTCAGATTATGGCACGATTTGTCATTTGTATTTTTATTAAGGTGAGAATATAATTCATGGATCACATGATCCCATTTCTTCCAATTGAATTTATTCATGCCTTTAGTTACATGGCTATCACAGCGATAATAATTTTATTACCTTATTGTGGTCTGTTGCTACCTAAATTTAAAAACTGTCAACTTCGACAAATTTTAGAATTTCATACATTTTTTTGTCTATTATGGCTTGCCAACGTTGGGAGCAAGCTCAAACCGACGAAATCAATTCTATTATCAAAAAATGTGTGTATTCATTATATTTTCATGTTGAATATAACTCGTGATATGATTAATAATAATCGAAGATATGGCTCGTGAAACCGAAGCAGCACATTCAACTCGTGCTTCCAGGGCCGGCTCTAAGGGACCAGGCGCCCCGATGCAACTTACTGTTCAACGCCCTCTAAAAAATTTTTGTAAAAAAAAACAAATAAAATTTTGTAATCACATATTTTTTACAGCGATATTTTTATTAACAAACATACATAACATTATGATGAATCAATCTTAATGTACAGGGTGACTGCGAAATAAGTGCAAATATTTTAACCACGGCATCCCCCACCCTAGTAGAGCCGAAATATAGAAAAAACAAATTAAAAATCGAATGGGGCAAAACCCCCATGAACCACCCTCGATACGAAGGCACTGAGCCACCTTGTAAACAGAGTTGGAAAAACGTTCGAATAAAAACGACCTAAACACTTTCAGTTTCAATTAAAAGTAAAACCGACTTTTTGCTGCTTATCATTCGTTCATTCATTTACTCATTCATCGTTAAAGGTCAGTGTGAAAGTTTTTTGGTAATTTTGATTCTGACGGATGTTTGGTCCTTGTCACAACGATTTTACATTGTTTATTGGAACAGAAATAAGAGCAACTTAGAATGCTACTACCTTTTTACAAGAAATGTTGAAAATGTTGTCCTTGACTAGCAATACAGGCGTCAGAGCGTCGCAAGAGGTTTGTTGATAGGTAAAAAAACACCGGAGTAGCGGCTGCCACTTTCACTTGTTGAAGCTCTTCGATAATTTCTGGACACTGTTGATTTCCACAAACGAACTGTTTCATCCAAATGATACACATTTATCGAAAACCGTCTCTTGAAATCGTATTTGTTGACGAGTATGTGGAGTTCCATCGGACAAAAAGTGAGTTACACAACGTGGATAATCAGCGGGCTCCAAACCCTGTACTTTGTCAACATGGTATGGATGTGGCCGTATTCTTTTAATGTAGGATGCACTACAAGCTTTGAAAATCCAACTTCTTCTTTCTGTCCTATCACGGCCACGATCGTGAGTTTGAAGTTGAAGGTACCATGATCTCGGAGTTGCTGTACCACTGATGCAAATGTTCACGCACACCAATTACCATTTCGACACAATCTGCATGGGAAAACTCCACCATAAACCGATTTCACCGACCGCTCGATGCTAACTGGCCCTTTTCGTGTTTTTCCCGTTGCGATTAAAAAAGTGCCTGATAAAGTTACTTTTTTGGTTCTTAATCCGACTCGCTCTGTTCCATTCATTGTAGTAATTATGTAGGTCACAAAACAGTCCAGCGGCGCGTACAACAATTTACATTTAATTTCAAATAATTTTTTCTAGACACTGCTACTACTTAGGACCGTGAATTTTACCCAGTGACATAATCATATTGTGAGCTATTCCCCATTTTTTTTTTGCATGTATTTCGCAATCACCTTGTATACAGTATGTCCCCGGTATGAGTTCACAAGAGGAAAAAAAACTGTATTTTCTATTTTACAAAAAAATGACATAGGAATAACATATTTTGCTTAATTCAAAACGAATAAATCTGCAATTAAAACTTCAATATTCTTGGTCAGTACTTTTAAAATTATTTTTTTCATATTTCTAAGTTCTTCGTTACTTTTAGTTTTTTTTTTAAGGACACAGCCTGATAATATTGCAGATTTATTCGTTTTGAATTAAGCTAAAAATGTTATTCCTCTGTAATTTTTTTGTAAAATAGAAAATACAGTTTTTTTTCCTCTTGTGAACTCAATCCGGGGACATACTGTATATAAAAGTATTTGTCCTGACTGACAGACTGACTGATTTATCAACGCAAAGCCTAAACTACTGAAGCTACAAACATGAAATTTGGACAGTAGGTACATTTTGTGTTATCAGCACCCATTAAGAAAGGATTTTTTGAAATTCCGCCCCTACCGGGGACAAAAATTTGTGAGTTTTTAAGTTAGACGGGTTCATTAAGGAGGGGGGAGTGAACGGGATGAAAAATGATTTGTGAATTCCACGCAAGCGGAGCTGCGGGCAACAACTTTTCTACATAGTATAAGTATAAAAATATTTATATTACAAAAATTTTTCAATTTTTAATGTTGTAAAACTGAAACGATTTCAAAGTTATTTTTAATTTAGACTTACCTCAATGTTATTCGAAATTTAAATTTAAAATTAATGATGACAAAGAGCCACAAAATGATACAACAAAACCAAATTCGGTTACAAACAGGAACAGTGAAAAATATAACAAAACTGTTGAACAATCAGCACAACCAACCGACTAGACTTGGAAAATAAAATTTTTAAGTATGTGCCGACATGGAGTTTTATGGTAAAAACAAACGTGACAAATGTTAGGAAAAACATCTGGTTTTGGTCATACCGCTGTCTCGTCAAATTGTTACCCAGATAATGCAACAATAAATCTGGTATTTTTTGTCAGTATTAATCTAAAGGTCCAATCACCCAACCCAAAGGTGCACTCTTTTTCAATTATTACAGTCAGGAAGTGACTTCTTATGATCTGTTTTTGTGAACCACTCCCCATAGTGGGATATTAAACTATAGCTTTTTCTGAAAAGTTTTCGATGGGCGCCTTGGTCTGTTCCTGCTATAATATTTTGTACGTAGTGATTCAATGTTTATTTTTATAGAGTTAATATAAAAGCATAGGCGGTGCCCGCTGCCCGGCGCCCCTTGTCATGGGCGCCCCGATGCAGTGCATCTTTCGCTTACCGTGTTGAGCCGGCCCTGCTTCTAACAGTCTCTTCACAAGAACGATCGTATAGCCGATTGTCTAATGCAATAAAGCCTAGGATTAAGTCCCAGGAGACTTTACCATTATCGTGTAGTTCTTCATACAAATGTGCCGACTGTGAGAAAAACTCCAGACGTGATTCTGCAATTTTAATAACTGGTACTCCTTATAAAAATGCCCTAAAAGCGAGTTTGGCAGAAAAAAATAGAAGAGAAAGTGCCAAAAAATCTGCCCCAAAATTTCGCAAGGATTTTGTAACAAAACAAAAAGAAAAAATGAAAAAGTCACTCCTAAAAATAAAGGCACCGTTAAGAAAAAGGGTAAATACCAAGTTGACCAAGAATCTAACGACTTATCTGAACATGAAGAATTACTTAGTTCTAGATGACGATTCTCATATGGATTGTGTTGGAGACGAAGATGCTGAATGTGTATTTTGTTGTGGATTATTTTCTGAGGACAATTCTGGTGAAAAGTGGATTAAGTGTGCATAGAATGAGTTCTATGTATGCATCACGTCATTAACATGAAATAATTGACACAAAGTACAATAATTAAAAAATAAATTGATCGAAACTTCCCGCGCACAAAGTACAATGAAAGATATGCGGCATTTTCGAATTGTATTTTTTCTTTAGGCAATTTCCTGATGACGTCATCAACATTTTTGAATATATAAACTTGGATTGGTGCAGTGTAATACTAAAAACAACAGTATTGTTTTCCCAAAATTTTCTGGGGAAATGTAGTGAGCCGTTCCTGGTTTAATCAATAAAATAAATTGACTGATTCCAAAAAATATGAATGGCATGATAAAACACAAGTAAAAACTATTTTATTATATTTTGGATATTTTAGTTAGGATTTATTCGGCCAAATTTTGAGCTGACGTCATCAGCTTTTTTGGAGGGGATAAGCAAATATATTTTGATTAAAAATTTATTATGCTTGCCATAACTTTAAAACATCTGCAAGATTGCAAAGTAATCGCTTTGGCAGATTAAAAATTAAATTGCAAAATGTTGTTTCATAATTTTTATTTTTTTTTCCAAAAATTTGGACATTTCGGGTAAAAACTCAACACGGAGTCATAAACTACATGTGTAGAACTATGTTATTTTCGTTTACGCTTACCCTTGGGAAGTAAAAGTCGTAAAATATTGCTGAATATATACAGCAAAATATGATGAGCCTATACTTGTGATTTATCACTGCATTAATATTTTTTAGATTTGCTTATACGGAGTGCTTCAAAAAATTAATGAATGAGTCAATTTATTTTATTGCTTAAATAAAGAATTGCAAAACTGAATACTCTGAAATCTTGACGTTTTGAAGTTATTGTAAGCATGGTAAGAAAAATTGATTACGTCATCTCAAAATTTTGCCGAATATTTTTTTTCAAAAATGTGCAAAATATGAGCAGTCTATACTTGTAACTTATCATTGCATTCATATTTTTTATTTATTTATTTATTTATACAAGGTGACTCAAAAAAATTAATGAATTAGTCACATTATTATTGATCAAATTAAGAACGAGCCACTCCATTTTCTCGAAAATTTGAGAATACGCTCGTCTTTATAACAATAAAACAATCATAAGGTAAGAATGATAATATATATATATAGAGCAGGGGTCCTACAGCTTCTGCCGCATCCCGCATTTCGACCTCCACCTCTTTCGGTCTGTCCATTCTTCCTCTTCAATGGCTCTGTCTTCCATTATTTTCCGGATACCTTCTCTCCATTCTAGTGTTGGTCTACCTCTTCTTCTTTTGTTCCATGGTACATACTGTATAGCTCGTTTTGGCCATCGTTCATCTCCCATTCTCATTACGTGGCCGTACCATAAAAGTTGTTTCGATTCTACTGTATCTACCGTGTTGTAAATTCTTCCAGTCTTTCTACGGATTTCTGTATTTGGGATATGTTCTAGTTTGGATATCCGACACGCCCTTCGAAGATAGTCCATTTCTACTACTTCCAGCTGTCTTTTGCTTTTTTCCGTCATTTGCCAACATTCTGAGCCATATGTTAAAATCGTTTCTACAACTGCCGTGTAGAGTGTCATTTTTGTTTGTAGTTTGATTTTCGGCGACCAGAGTAGAGAATTTAGTGTTTGAGTTATTTTTCGACCCTGTTGTACTTTGTTTCTTATATCTCTTTGTGATGTCCCTTCTTTGGTTATTACGCTACCTAGATATTTAAATTCATCACATTTCTTTATTTTCGTGATCGACAGTTGGTCATCTTTTTCTTCGTCTTTTATTTTTAGGTACTCGGTCTTGTTTAAGTTGATAGTGAGTCCCCATTCCTCATATTCTGCTGTTAGTTTTCGAATCATGTAGTCCATGTCTTCCTCATCGTTTGCTATAATTACTTGATC